CCTGCCCGCCCGCCCTCCGCCCGGAGGGCTCGGGTCCTCACCGCCACATCCTGATCCCCACCCGCCGCCCCCTTTCTTACCGGCGGACGTGAGGACTTGGCGGGGCAGGGCGAGCCGGCTCGCGGGGAGCCGGCTGGGATCGGCGGCCTCCCCCGCGCCGGGGCCCGCGATCTCGGTCACAGAGTCCTCGGGGTCCGGGTGTCTCGGGGTAAGCCAGAGTCCGGAGAGGGAGGGAGACGAGGAGAGCCGCGCAAGGCGAGGGGAGTCCCGGCCCGCGGCACCGACGCGCGATCCCTGCCGAGTGGGTCCCCAACAATCAATTCATTATTGAAGCACCAGAGGCGAAGGCAGCCAGAGCAGAAGTAACGAGTCGTTGTCGTCGCCGCCGCCGCGCGCGCTCCCGCTGCTTATCGGCTCCCGGCAGCCGCCATGACGCCGAGAGAGCGAGCGCAACCGTCTTCCGTCGTCGCCGCCGCCGCTGCCGCCGTCGCCACCGAGGTCGCCGCCGCCTCCGCCTCCGCCTCCCGCGCGACGTAAGCGCTCCTGCTCACTCCCCTTCCCCACCGGTCGCGAGGCGAGCGGCCGCGCGCACGCTGAACCCTTCCTGCTGGGGCAAGGGCGGGAGGAGCGATTACGTCGAGGAAGTCGTGAGAGTTGCTGAAGAGCGATTGGTTCCAGGGCGTGGCAAGGCGGGGACTGGGCGCGCGCACGCGCTCAGGCCGGAGCGTGCGCGCCCCCTGCTCGGAAGCTGCCGGGAGTCTGGCGGCGACTGTGGCCCGCTGATCCTAGCTCGGGTACCCGCCCTTTAGCGGCCCAGCGTGAGGCTCGCTGCGTCGCGGCTGTGAGCCCGCCTCGGTCCCCGGGGCCGGCTGGGTGGCGCCCGGACGTGGAGGCAGAGAGACTGGGGTGGGACGAGGTGGACACTGGCTGCGTTGAGACTTGGGGAACCGCGTAAGGACCGGACTGGAGAAGCCGAAGGGGAGGGGGGGCCCGGGCGGTACTTGAGGGTCGGTGGCCCAGGCCTCGCTCCGCGTTCCCGCCTAGCCCGAGCGTCGTCGGAGAGCCGGGAGCCGGGCGGGAGCCGCTGCGTCACACCGGGCAGCCTGGGAGCCCAACAGTTGGGCAACCGGGGTCGCTGCCCTCTCGCTGCTTCCCCTGCTGGGGCGACGGGAGGCTGAGTCTCCCTCGGGGGGAGGCTGAAGTCTGGCACGGGTGGGGCACCCCCGGGGGAGGAGGAGGAGGAAAGAAAACCTAGGCCTTGGTCGTTGACCTCGCGCGACGCTGCCCGATTGGCCTGTGGGTGGCCCAGACCTGATCCGGGGAAGTTGTTTTTTCTTTTTAAACCACCTTTCCTTACTGGGACCCTCCCTCCCTGGAGGGCGGGTGGGAGGGTGTGGCGGCGCCTGCTGGCAGCGACCTCGGCCTGGAAGAAGTTGGGCTTGAAGCTGGGAGGCGGGGGGCGGCTTAGGGTTGGACGCGCGGCCACTCTGTTGCCTGTGTATTTTTTTTATTTCTTCAGGGTTCAGACACTATTGCTTTCAATGGCTTGGAAGCTGTCCTCTCAAGCATGACGGTTTCCTGCTTTGCGTAAGGTTTTTTTCTTTAAACAAGATTCTCTTACGCTTCATTTGTTTTTGCGGTCTGCAGATTTCTTTTTTTTTTTTTTTTTGCACTCGAGACGTGTCTCCATGAAAAGACCCTCCTGGCTTCAGCTCTCCAGTGTTGAGGTGTGTGTTACCGCTCCAGGCCGACTTTTCTTCCCTACACCCCCCCCACACACACACCTTTTTACCATTTTACCTTTCTTTTTTTTTTTTTTTTGAGAAGGTCTCAGCTTTTCCCTAGAATGGCCTGATTCTGAGATTCTCTGGTCTCCACCTCCCTCATAGCTGAGATAACAAACACCATCCACTTCCTGGTTTAATTTTTTGGTGTTGTTGTTGATCCGTTGCTGGGGCCTGGACACCGCCTGAGCTCCCCCTGTCAGCTTTTTTTTTTCCCCTTAAAGCTGTCGTTCAACCCCTTGACCCAGAGCTCCACTTCCCTGGGTTTAATTTTAGAACTTTCTAGCCTATCACTGTGGCATATGTATATACCTGTAACCATACCTACTCATGAGGCTTAGAGGTGGTGGTGGTGGGCTGAGCAAAGGAAATAATAAAACTAAAAAGGCCTTAATAGAAAAAGAACTGAAACCAAAACAACAGCCGAAAGGATGGCTCCAGTGTTAGGGCACTCAGTCTAGGTTCAAATCCAAGTACCACCACCAGAAAGATAACCTTAGTCAATCTATTTGTTGTAATGTGCAGAAATAATCATTTTGCTATATAAGAAACTTTTATCCGAAGCCTTCTAAAAACTCTCAAAGTATAACTGTGAATGTGTTTATCCAAGGAATGCTCAGCTTTGGGAAGTTGGGAAAAGTACAGGAGACCCATATAAGAGACCTATCTACAGTCATTGAATAGTGAAAGTAAATGTAATATCATCCTTTCTATGCTCAACTTCCTTAGCTCTCTCTCCCTCCCCTTTTCCTTCCCCCATCCCCTCTTCCCTCTCCTCTCCCTCCCACTAAAGCTAATAGCATTAACGCTGTGAAGAAAGCAAGATTGGTTTTTTTTAATCACTGCTTTTCTGAAGTCTCTAAGTATTATGAATTAAGTGCTAATTTAAGCTTTGTTAATATTAAACCTTAATTATGGGAACCTCTAATTTGTGCCTGTAGGTTTTTCTTTTGTTGTTAGAGTAATAAATAAAAACTAAAAGCTAAAAAAAAAAAGCTGCAGGAAAACTAACCTTGACTGATAAGTTATAGTCACAAGCATTCAGATAATAAAATCTTCATTTATATCCATACTACATTTGTCATTGTCTTACAAAAGTAATTACAGTGTTTTTACATGTGCTCTGAAAGCTCCAACCTTTTTAAGTTAATTGTGCTCATAGTAGTGTGTGTGTATATATATAATAAGAGCCCTAGCAACTTTTTTTGCGGAAGCATGTCTTGCCAAACTAATCTTGGAGACATATTTCAAGTAAAGTCAAAATACTCTATAACTGAAGAATTTTAGAATGACCTAAAAATTGGGGGGAAAAAAATGTAAGTCAGCTCTTAAAATGTCAATGGGTAATGCGGGAAATATTTTTGGAAATTTATTATCTGCATAATTAAATTTTCACATTCACACTGAGTAGATGTTTTTTAGCTCTTGCTGATACCATAAAAATAATAGCTAAGCCTGGCACTGGTGGCTCACACCTGTAATCTTAGCTTCTTAGGAGGCAGAGATCTGAGGATCACAGTTCAAAGCCAATCCAGGCAGGAAAGTCCATGAGACTCTTATCTCCAGTAAACCATCAGAAAACCGGAAGTGGCGCTGTGGCTCAAGTAGTAGAGTGCTAGCTTTGAACTGAAGAGCATAGCACCCAGGCCCTGAGTTCAAGCCCCATGACCAAAACCGCTAAATGATAATATGGATATTAAATAGTAAAAGCCACAGACAAATTTGTATCAATCATGAGATTCTTACTATGATTTCATTTCCCATTTGAAAAAAATATATTCTTTGAGAACAGTATTTATAGACTATCAAAAGATTTTGTGGGTCTTTAGTTTTGATACATTCTACTTACAATAATTCCCAGTGAGTATCTGTGGTGGTTAATCATGGTTTTCAACTTAATTGCATGGAGAGACACATAGAAGAACATTAGTAAAGCTTTCCTCTGTTCATCTAAGAGATCATTTCCAGAGATAGATAATGAGGGCCCTGACCTAATCAATGATTTAATCTTTTTATGGATTCAAGGATTCAAAATTTGAGTTTATTGGGAGGCAATGATCTGTGGGGGTTGGGGCTCTGTGAGGAAGTGGGTTGCTGAGGGTTTGCCTTTGGTGCGTATTAACTCAGCCTGAGCCCCTTCCTGTTACTTCTGAGTAGCTCTGCTCTTCCACACTCTTCTTCCATGATAAACTACCTCACTACATGCTCGAAAGCAATGAAGCCCACTGATAATACATGGACTATAACCTCTCAAACCTTCAGCTAGAACAAATTATTCTTTGAATTTATTATTTTTTAGGTATTTGGTTACAGGAATATAAATCTAACATAGTATTCTTAGGCGGAGATGTGCTGACAAACACTCTTCCAGAATAGTGAAACATGTAACTTAACAGAGAATGGTAAGTCTCTCCTGCTAATCTTTTAAGTGCCAAGATAAAATTTAAGTCCCATAATTATGTTATTTTGCCCCAGAAGATGTATATACAAGTAGCCACTAAGAATTAAAATATAGTCCCTAGACTGAGCACTGGGGGTTCATGCCTATAATCCTGTCTCCATGTGAAGCCTCCCAAGGCAGCAATAATACACATTCAGTAGAAACCACAAATTTTAAATTTTGATCTTTTTACTGGACTAAGGGTATATGCAGTAAAAATGCTCTTGTGATATCAGCTCAGTAGTGGACATGATCTGTATGTAGCTCCCAGTCACATGATGTTGAGGCAAACAACCCATACTGTAGCATATCATGTGGCTAAACTATGATGTTCAGTGGGTTAGGTTTGTTTACTTTACCTTTGACTTAGAACACATTCAAATTTATCATGGGTTTGTAGAATGGGATTCCATTTTAAGCCACAATCTGTAGCATACAATCTTAACCTATAGTATCATGCTGCAGGTTGCCAAACAGGAAGATTTCTCCAAAGTCCTTTGACAGAACTTACGAAATTTTCATAGTTAAGGTTCACCATACATTCTATGGTCAATGATTATTGTCTGCAGGTTGAAGTAGACAGCAGAAGGAATCACTCCTCAAATTATTTTCACAACTACTTTATTACCTGACACTCTTCTTCCTCCCTCTTTGATACGTAGAATTTGCGGGTCCTAGGGTAGCATTTGAAAAAAATCTCAGCTTGTTCTGATATGCATCACAGCACATTCCCCCAATACAGGGACTTGAACTCAGGGCCAGGCTGCTGTCCTTAGCTTTTTCACTTAAGGCTAGCTATTCAGAAGGCTGAGATCTGAAAATCTTAGTTTGAAGCCATCCTGAGGAAGAAAAGTCCATGAGACTCATCTCCAATTAACAAGCAAAAATTTAGAAGTTGCTGGGTGTCAGTGGCTCACAGCTGTAATCCTAGCTACTCAGGCTGAGATCTGAGGATTTCAGTTCAAAGCCAGCCTGGGCAGGAAAGTACATGAGACTCCTCTCCAATAAACCACCAGAAAATTGGAAGTGGCACTGTGGCTCAAGTGGTAGAGTGCCCGCCTTGAGCTGAAGAGCTGAGGGACAGCGCCCAGGCCCAGAGTTCAAGCCCATGACCAAAAAAAAAAAAAAAAGCTAGAAGTGAAGCTATGGCTTAGTGTTAAAACACCAGTCGAGTGAAAAATCTAAGGGACAGCACCCAGATCCTGAGGTCAAATCCCAGTACTGGCAACACATATACACACAC